TTTTTCCAAATATTGTTCTTCAATTTTCAATTTGTCATCAGTTAAGCTTTCATTAAAGATATCTGAGTTATCAGACTCATCAGTGTTTGGTGAATCATAACCTTGACTGTAAATGAATTTGATATTGGCTTGTTCTTTTTGACTATTCTATTCAAAAGTCATAATATTCTTTTTAAGATCTAAATTAGCTTTGATTTTGTTAAGCCAATCCATTCTAACAATTACACTATAAGTTTGTGCAAGAGTAACATTGATATTAGCTGGAATAGTGAGTTTGTCAACAGTAATTGGAAAGTTATCAATAGTTCCAAGTGAATGATTAACAGTTTCAGTAATATTAATCATAGTGACTTCAGATTTTTGTTGGATCTTGATATTCCATTTCTTCAAGAACTCATAATTTATAATATAACCAGATACTTCAATATCAAGAATTAGATTAATTGATACAGTTCCAATCTTTGCTTCACACCAGGTTGAGGTAGTTCTTAGCTTTTGTCCAATCATAACTTTGTATTTTGAAATTCTTTTGGGTTTAATCAGTCTTCTCAAATCTTTGAATAATTTGAGTCTTTTTCAGAAAAAGTTCAAATGAGTTGATCAAATGAGATTTTTACTTTTGCACTAACTATATCTTCTAGAATGTCATAGAGTAAGGATTGGTCAGTGAGAACTGGTAGTACTGCTTTGCCTTTCTTCTTTTTCACTTGCTTTTCAAGTTTAGCAGTTTTGATTGGTACAGTTAGTTCTTGTATATTTGAAGGTAAAATGTCAATAATTGAATTACTTGGTTCAACTTTATTAGTATCATCTTCAATTATGACATCATTATTATGCTTTGTCTTGGCTTTCTTTTTTTTATTTGTATTATATTTTTTGTTTACAAGAAGAGTGGTCCTAGGAGAGTTGTTAGATGAAGATTGTTGTTTATCATTTATAGATTGCAAAGTCATAAGTAATAATTGTAATTAGTTCAAAAGAGCTGTAGTATTTGTTATATTAGAATTATTTATCAGTGACTGATTATTGTGACTGATATTATTTTGGATATTATTATCTTGGTTTTGATTTTGTCTTGGCTGATTTCTTCAGTTATTGTTATTTTGACCTGTATTTTGTCAGAAATTTTTAGAGTTGAAGAATTGACTGCACATTCTAGAGATATATCCAATTTCTCTGCAATTATAATAGGTAGACAGTTGGTATTATTAATTATAATTTTCAAAGTTTCAAGATTATTAAGGTAATTTATTTTCCATTTTGTTTAATCGAATAGTTATTTATTGAATAGCTGAAGCTAGAGTGATCATATCAGAAGAGTTTTGTATCAGATTTTAATAATTTAATTTTGGTACAGTTTCTTTTTTAGCTTCTTCAGATAGTTTTACTGTATCAACAAGTTCTTGGAAGGTGTTTTCATCTTGAAAAGTAGTCTATTTTTGAATGATTGAGTTCAGTTTATATCAATATATTCTTTTCTTGTATGACAAGGGATAGTTTTCATCAGGATCTGCTTTGTAAATTAGTTCATTAAATTAATTGGTATACTATTCAATAAATTTAGTTTGTTGCAAAGTTTCAAGCTCATCTTGCCATCTGTTTTTGTTAAGTTTTAAATTGTTGTTCAAAGTAAAACTTGAAATTTGTATAATCTTGATTACTATTGGATCAGTCTTGTAAGGTATCATTTTGTAAATTTTGTTGTTTATCAAACTATAATATAGCAATATCTTTAAGATATTCACAGACAACTTGAATCTTTCAATTATCAGTAATTTCATTGACTAGTATTGTTATTTCAAAATCTCAATTATTCTACAGTGTCTTGGTTTTCATCTTTGTATTTTCAAATTTGGATAATTATCTTTTCATTGTTTTTATGATATAATGAAAGAACTAATTGACTAATTGCATCAATAACTGCTTGAGTGATCATTGTGGTTATTTTGAAATGGAATACTGAGAAATCAGAGTATATGCTGAATTCAGGTATAAAATTATAACTGCCAGTAAAGAAGTGAATTATTTCAGTTACTTCTGTATTACTAGTTGTCTCAGAGTAGAAGTCATCAGATAAATTAGAGTCTTCTTTGAATTCTTGATTGCGAAAGTCTTCAAGTATTGTTTTAACTAAGAAGAGCTAGTGTTCAACTGTATATTAATTTTGATAAATTAGGATATTTAATAATTGAATTACTCATTTTTGTAATTTTTCTCTTTTAAGTGTATTAAGATCTGTTATAATAATATCTTTGAATAATTGTTCAGTAATAAAAGATCCAAATATTGTACCTGTTCTTGGATCCAGTTGAGAAAATTGGCTAAGGGTTCAGTTACTGTATTAGAAGGTGAAAAACAGATATGACAATAATACTATTAAGTTATTCAAAGTGTTATTTCTCAGTGTTGATTTTCTAGGTGAGTGTTAAGATGTACAGTAGTAAGTTCCTTAATAAAGTTATAATAATTATTCATAAAGAAGATTTTAATTAAGAATTGAAATATAAATATTCACAAAGAGAGTTGTAAAAAGAGGATTTGTTTTTGGTAATTGATTTTTAAATGAGGTAAGAGAAATGATAATAAAAGAAAAAAGGAATTTGATAATTTGAGAAATTCACAAAGAGGGTACCAAAATATACTATGATTACTTTAAATAAAGAATTTCTTTACTATTAGTAAAAGAGTCATATGAGTTAGAAGAGAGAAATAGACTAATAAAATTGGTCAGTGCAAAAATAAGTATTTAAGCCTGTATCAATTTTGACAGAAATTGTTAAACAATTCTATCAAAAATGAAAAAAGGGGTTAGAAGAGTATGTTCAGAGAGGCAATTAATAAAAAGGAGTTACTAATTAAGAAAAAGTGTATTGATATTTTTATATTTGTAGTCATATATTTTAGTGCTTTCAATACCAAAAAAAATGAATAACTAAAAGAAATATCACTTATTTAGAGTTGCGATGCACAACTATACAAACTAATATTACTTATTTAAATTTGTAATACACAATTATACAAATTAATATCACTTATTTAAAGTTGTAGTGTACAACTATACCAAAAATAATGCTATAGCAATCAATATACTTATTCAAAAATACTTTTTCAAATTCAAAGACAAAAGTAATAATCAGAAATTCAATTCTAAACAAATCAATATTCAGTTTCTTGATCTCACTCAAGATTTATGAAAAGTGACTTGAATTACAAGATTTGAAATTCAATCAACAAATTATTTTTGCCAGATAACTTGTTTCAATGGAAGAAGATATAAGAATAAATATTAATTTTATAATAATAAGACAGTAATTAACTTATTGTAACAAGATTAAAATTTATTAATTTTTTTAGCATTGAAATATAAGATTGATATATAGGAGAGCACTTTTATTTATACAGAATTTGATAATACATTTTAATTCTATCTACATTATAAAATTATAAAAAATATATATAAAAGATAGAAAAGGTAAATAGAAAAAAATAGAAAAGATAAAAAGTAAGAATAATAAAAGTAAAAAAGATAAATAATGAAAGTAAAAAGATAAAAAAGATAGATAATGAAGATAGAAAAGGTAAAAAAGGTAAATAACAGGGGTAGAAAGAGTAGAAAAGATAAATGACAAAGATAAAAAAGATAGAAAAGGTAAATAATAAAGATAGAAAAGGTAGAAAAGATAGAAAATAAAGGTATAAAAGGTAGAAAGAGTAGATAAATAAGATATAAAGAGTAGAAAAGGTAAAAAATAAAGGTAGAAAAGGTAAATAATAATAATAATTATATGATTATTAGATAATTGATATATATATATGTTATTTTTATCAATTTGTTATTTTGTTACTATTTTTAAAGATTTTTATATTTTCTACTATTTTTGAAAGATCTGTTAATTATGGAATTATTGAAAATAAATATAATATTATTTATAAATACTTAGATAAAATAGAATTTAAAAGTTACACTTCAAGAAAAAAAATCTTTTAATTCCAAATTAAGAACTTTGTTAATTAAATTGATGTCAGAAGAAATGTAACTGAAAAGCACAATAAAAAAATATAATCTTGTTTGATGAATTCAGATTCACACTTTTTGAATTAAATAATCAGATAAAAATATGACAAAAATCTGGTAAAGCTTATTATCAAGCATATATTAAACCTACTATTAAATTTGACGAAGAGTCAGTAATATTTTGGAGATGTTTCAGTTGGAATGGAATTGGTTCTTTGATGTCAGTAAAAGAAATTATAAATTCAAATATCTATGTTAATATTCTCACTAATTATTTTGTACTCTGAGCTTACCAATATTCATATGTTACATTTCAACAAAATGATATATCATGTCATATATGACTTGATTGATATTAACACATGATATTTAACTTTTGGATTGGGTTGGTCAAAGCTCTGATCTCAATCTGATTGAATATCTGTGGGATATTTTGGACTACCAGATTCAAAAAGAAGACCATTATCTATATTAAAACAAGAATTAATTCATATGCTACGAGAGGAATGGATGAGTATTGATTTGAAAACTTTGCATGAGTTAACTTTGAGTCTACTTAGACACATAGACAAAGTTATTGAAGTCAATGACAAAAATATGCCATATTAATTGTAGATTCTTAAATTTGAACCAATATAACTGTATATTTACTACTTTAATTTTTTTTAATTTATCATATGTTTAATACAATAATTTTTTATTTAATAATAAAAACTTTGATTCATTGAATAATCAACATTAAATTTCTGGTAATATACTATAGGGATGTGTATCCTATACAAAAAAATGTGAAAAAGGGGGAGGAGAGCAATATTGCTTAGTCCTGATGAGATTGATGATATTTATGTTAATTATTATACTTGGTAACTGATATTTCTGCTCATAAAGCTTCAAATGAATTTAAGAATGAGATTGCATATCGCTTAATTAATAGTGCAAAGGTTATCCAACAGGCTTGGAAGAGTTACAAGAATAAACCCGAGACATGGCAAAACGAGTTTGGAATATGGTGAGAAATGATGGTACTCCTGACGAGAAGTTTTTAGGTATTACTCCTCGCGGTATAAGAATTTCTGATAATCAATATGTATTGTATTATCATCAAAGAATTCTAGCTAAAGACGTACCTGCATATCATCAGAATAGTCCTATTTTATTTCGGCAGAAAAGAAGAAAGAGCAGTTACGTGAACGATTAGGTATTATAGCATATATAGTTGCTTTTATAGTATTACATCGGCAAGACTATAAAATCGTTAATTATGATGATTGGTCTTATATGTTAAAGTGGCTACCAAATCCTGGATATTACCGTATTAACGAATATACCAATAATGGCAATGAAAACTTTGTTAGATTTTCCGAATATGAGCGATATAGATGTAGAATAGCAGGCAAACAATATCCATGTAATTCGCTGAAAATTGACTATTTTCAATCTGGATATTTTACTATCGAGGGAAAAGATAATGGTATAGATTTCTCAGATTTGAATAATAATTGTGAGTATGTGCGTCGAGTTTTCCGGGCCATAGATTCTTTATCAAGATCCTGGATATTATCTTAATAGTAAAGAAAATCTCAATCGTAAATTCCTTGTAAAATATCATAGTATTATTCATATATATTTATTAGTAAATCATTTTTTTCTCTCGGGAACAAGCCTCATCATTACTCGCAAAAATAAATTGAAGGGTGTGGGTCGTACAGTATGCAATCTGCATGCACTGATCGTCTAGTGAATGTACCACCTGCACATTTATGCGGGTAAAATATTGCGATTGCCTATTCTGGGTTAGGTCCTCTAATCTATAATTATTTTAATGAAATTTTCCTAGGTGTTCAAGAAGGTCAATGAAGCGATCTTGGGAATTCCTGATTCCTAAATACTATCATTATAACTTTGAAAATTTCTATGCGACAGTTATACAGCGAGCTTACAGGGATTACAAGAGACCCGAATCATTGGCAAAACGAGTTTGGGAGGTGGTGAGGAATGATGGTACTCCTGACGATATGAAGGTTTTAAGTAAAATTCCTACTCGTGAATATTGGGGTTTTGATTTAGTGAATCACCTCCCTGACACAATGAAAAATACGTTCCTTAAACCTGCCCGACGAACGGTGCCTCAGAACTTTTCGGCGATCAGAGAAATGTGTGGAAATTTTGTAGCAAGTTTCAGCGTACATCAGTCAGAAAGTACGCCGAGGCCGTTAAAACATGATGGGTCTTGGAAAGAATTGTTAGACATTCGTAAGGACGTTATATTGGAAATTCTAAGTACAATAAAGAATATCTGGAACAATCCTGCCTTTGGAGCTAATTATGCAAATTCATTAAACGAAGGTACTTATGTCTCAAATATGATAGTACCATTGATTCAAGCAACTTTGAAAAACCTCCCCCATAGAAATTCTTCATTTATTACCACGTAAGTATCTGTGTCGTTGTAGCATCAAGAGGACATCCGTTTCTCATAGTTTTATCATTTTTTCCTTAGATATGAGCGTCAGAGTGTCGCGAGCAAGGATAGGAAGGGTGATAGTAAAGCAGGGAGACGGCCAGATGTAATGTTTGAAGTTGAACGCGAGGAAAAAGTTTATGAACTTCTGTATGGTGAATTCTCACGTTTATCCTGCACGACACAAAAAGAACAGGATGATATGATAAAACTATGGCGAGAAGCGAACGATGTATTAGACTCGTAAAGAATGTAAACCGGAGAAAGAACATTTTGGAATTATTGCAGTTCAGATTGCGGGTAATCTATTTATCTCATGGTTTTGCACAAAATGATGTGTTTTATAATATGGAACTTTTATAGGACGTATGCTTCACCTGAACGTTCTCACAAGAGGCTTGGACGAAATTCACCGTTACTACCATTTATATTCTGCGGAAATTCCAGTACACCCAACAGGAGAGTTCATTTTGTCAAACTTCGTTAAGACTTTGCTGATTTTACGGGGGCTCCTTAATATCGCCTATGATAACATATTCTATAATTACCTTACTACTTATTGCAATTATATGGATTGTGGTTGGGAAAAAAATATGGAATTCATGAAAAAAAGCGACCGATACATTCAGACTAGCGATTTACATCACTGGACATATCTGAGACCAGAATATCGGTAAAGATATCACTACACTGCATGTGTGTGTTAAAAATTCAAAACCCAATTTCAGGCTAAACTTTATTAATAATATATGGTAATACAATATGGTATAACAATAATGAATTGCATGAAAGTAAAAAAATGAACAGTTAAGAAGTTTTTAAATCACAATTTTAATATTCATTGCGGTTGAGCGTCATTGTAGAAGTTGGAACCGGTTAAGATTTTCTTCTGATCAGTTTCCATTGTGCACAGGGAGGGTTTTCGAGTTCAGCAACAACGTTCAACTCTTTATGTGTTACACATGTTGTTACATTTTGCCTGGGAGTAATGTTAACAATATCATCATGAAATGATATTACCATGAAACGTTGGTTTTGTTCTACTTCCTGATCCGTAACAGCAGTGAGTTGTTTGTCAACATCGTTGAATTGGGCGCGTTGGGCGCGTTTGTCAGAATTAACGACACTGATGTAACCGCTTCCAGGATCAATTTTCCACCAAATAGGTTGTTTTGACAGAACAATTTTGCCATCATTATTTACTGCCCAAAATAAATTAGGGTTTTCAAGTAATTGAATTTGAAGTTGACTTTGAGGGGATACAGTGCCTATAGGTTGATTTAAAGCAACACCAATAAAGGTGGTTAAAATGAGCAAAAAAAGGTTGAATTTCATTTTGATTTTTTCTGTCGATTGATAGAAAAGTAAGTTTTTATTTTCAAATCAAAGGCGTATTTATACATGTAAAAATAGGTATAAAGACATAATGCTTGGCAAAGCTATAAGCCTGAATGCTTAGATTATTCTCCTCTAACAGAATTATTGATACTTAGATTACGGAATTAAATCGTGACACGTCATTACATTGTCAGTATGTTTTGAAAATATAAAGAGAAAATCTCTAAGCATCTAATTTTTTGTTATGTGCTGTTCGCCTATATTTTATTGAAAATCATGGCAGCGTCGAAGTGGTGAAGGAATTGCGCCATTATGATTAACTACAATTTGTGTGGTATATGTATGTATATTTGGCATCTGATGTTGTTGGGAGGCGATGTGGCTTACTAATTATATTCATGATTTGCGTTAAGCCTATTTGTCTTCAAAGAACTCCTGCTAGCTAAAAGTAAGATTACTAATTAATAATTCTGAGATTAACTTTACTATGCATACCAGTACACCAGCACTACAATTATAATTTCAAATAATTTTGATTGATATACTATATATGATCAGCAAATCAAACCCCTTACATAGAAAAATCCCGTTAAAAAATGCGCAATCTAACGACCTAACCTTAGCTAAAAAATCATCAAGTTGTACTGTTACAGGTTAGTGACCGATTATAAGGATTAGCCAATATCTTCGAATATTGTTGTATTCAATTATCGGTTTGGTTTCGTTCACGTGTTTCACAAATATTAACAATGAACAGCATCAGGATATAGTACAAAATTTTCGAAATCACATGATTCCGATCTCAGTGCCGAGCATCCGAGTATCCGACATATGGTGCATAAAATCTAAAGTCATCAAACGTTTGTATTTTATAAATGTATAAACTTCTTTACTAAGAAATAAATACAAAATTTAATCCGTGAATATGCTCAGAAAAGGCCTATTCTATCATATTCACGGATTAAATTTTGTATTTACTTCTTAGTAAAGAAGTTTATACATTTTATAAAATACAAACGTTTGATGTCTTTAGATTTTATGCACCATACCCCTTAAAAATAATGCACCAATTAAAGAACATGGCTAACATGTGATTTAGTTTATCAAATTTTAAAGATTAATTTGAACATTGAACTTAGGGTTAGGATTAGAATAAAAGATAAGAATATATGTAAAATTGCCTCACCAACAATTTTAATTAGTGCTTCAAGATAGATTTAAACATATATTTTCCGTATTTTTCATTTTTTTATTTGTGCTTCAGATTTATTTTTCGAGTTGATTAAAATTTACACATTCTTATTGGCTTGTTTCTTGGACAAATCACAATTCATCACGCTTTAGCCATGCTTTAATTAAATGACATAATACAATAAATATTGCAATATGAGAAAGTAAATCATGAAAAATGAAGTAGTAGTAATAATATAATTTAGAAGATGAATTACTTTACATTTGTTTGCAATCAAATTATAATAAATCATTACACAAAATAAAGTAAATCATAAAATTATTACAATCATTTCCATTATTAAAAGATCACTTCTATTATTTAATTATTGATGATTTAATCAATTATTATATATAATACTAGATATTATCTATAATCAAATGATATAATTATTTGTATCATTGAATATAATATTAAATCTAAAAATACAAATAAAATATATTTATTAGTTATAAATTAAAATTGTAAATAAAACATTTTTTTAATATTCATTTTTTTATCTTATACTTTTCATTACAAAAATAATATTCATTATTTTGATTTGTTCCAGATTTTAACACATCATTATTTATATTGTATTAACTTATATTATTAATAATAGTAAATATATGCTTCATATTATTGATTACATTTTCTATATGTTATAGATTTATTTGCTAAAAATTTTTTATTAAATACTTTATAAAATATTCTAATATAACTATTTTGAATTCACATCTTTGAACAGAGTTCTGGATCAATATTTATTAGTAACAAAAAGTTTATTATTCTTATTTTCATTAACTTATACAAATTATTCAAAATTAATATTATAAAATAAATTATGCAATTTATTATTATTCCAGATCAAGAATGAATAATTTTTATATTGCTTAAAATTGGAATATTGTTACCATAATAATGTAAATTTCTTTAATTTGATAATCTTTCTTTGATTATACGAAATTCTCTTTTTCTTAATTTTTATCATTTATCACCTGATTATTATTA